ATGTCCAGGCTCAGGCCTTCCTGCAGCAGCAGTGTCATCCCCAACACCTGAAGGTCAACCCTCACCCAGAAAGCTCATAGCCTCAGCTGAGGTGAGGTGGGAGAGCTGAGCATGGGGAACCAGCTGAGGATGAGGAGGCAAAGAAGGGTGAAGGGGCTCTGCAGGAGAATCACTGTATGCCAAGAAGGTTACTTCTGCCTTTAGCCAGTCTTTCTGCATTGCATCATGCAGGAGAGGTATGGGCTGTGCATTTGAGGAAGTAGGTTTTAGCTGAATGGGATAAAAGGGAAACACAAAATGTTCTGGGTTCAGTACCAGAAGTAGACAGAAGGAGAAAGAGGAAATGCTTGTGTCTGTTAAGAAGGATCTTACAAATATTAATCACACTGTTAGTGTTTACTATTAATCATGGTTCTGTGCAGATGAGTGTAAATTGCACAGTGATGGTTTGTCCCCCCTGCTTTTTTTAAAGGTCTTGTGGTTAAATAAATAGAACCATTATTTTCTTAATGGTCATGGAGTACTGCAGTAGTACTCTTCATCCACAGGTAAATCTTTGTACATCAGATGCTCTCAAACCACTCAAGATACTATAGCTTTAGGCATATGCAGGAAAACCAGTTACCTGGTCATTTTTCAAAGGTAGTGAGATGGTTTTGTATGGCCCCTTTCTTTATACAATTCGAAGCCAGGAGGACCTATAAATCATGGTCTTCTATATACCCCATTCTATGGAATTTCAGTGGGTAAGTCCCTGTGAAGCTCACCATGTTCAACCAGACAGAAATACTCCGGTCTTGTGCACAGCAGGCAGAGGCAGAGCAGCATCACTGGTCCTCTGACACTGGGGGCAGCAGTGGTGAGCTATTGAATCTAATGCCAAATCTTGCCTGCCAACACCAAACAAAAAACACTTTTGGAAAATGACTGCTGTGCATCTTGTTTTCTTTTGAGGCAGTTCAATTATGTGATTGTCTTCATGATACATCATCTTGGTCTCTAGGAAGAAAAGAACATAGTTTCATTTGTTTGGAAAAGTCAGGTCTTAATTTTTTGTTTTGTGATTATCTAGGAAAGTCCAAACTTCAAAATTTGATTTTAAGACATAGAAATAAAACTTAGGAGCTTACCAGGCAAGTTCTTTTCTTTGTTTCCACTAATTGACTGTCATGATGCAGGCAAAGCAAGCTATTGCACCACTCTTCTGTTTAAAGACCATCACCACAGGTATGACAGAAGCCTGTTTAAGGAGATGCTGTGGATTTTTTTCTATTAAACATTACAGAAATATCAATGATATGACAGGGATCTGCATGGGGAGATGCTGCATAGTTGGAAGTGTTCTCTGGGTAGGTTTAGGACAGCAGAGACAAGCCTTTTTGCCTCAAAATCAGCTGATTCTGGTGAATTCTGATATGGAATAAGACAGGAAAGTATTTTTGGGAAACAGCAATGTGATGTTCTTGCATACCTTGGGATGCAAGTCCCAGGATGTAATAAACATGCAAGCTGACAGACAGCAAGCAACCACAGAGATCTGAGAAAGGGTTGCTTCATTCATGAGTTTTTGATCTTGAATGACTCATTAATGTGAGTTTTGGAGATTATTGTGCTGTCTGCAGTGACACCCTGTGGTGATGAAGCAGTGGTTTATCTCTGACCCCTGTTATCTGAGAAAGCCAGAGTTCTGCTGTGACTGTCCTGCTGCCTGCAGTCAAGACCAGGAGGAAATATATAGCTGAAAGGTAGTTTTTCCTAGTAATAAGATTCATTATAGGATATGAGGTGACAAGTCTTTTGGTATTACTGTTATAATTTAGCCATTATTATTCATATTGTTAATATTTCTAATCACTACTAGTGATTTCATATGCATACTGCCTGGCTTCAGCACAAAATAAATAACTGAAATTATAGTTAAAAATACAGATTGCATATGAATGTATAGTAAACCAGTTTAAAATTTAAGGAGAAACCATAGAGACTTCCAAGAGGAATGCATCACGTATAAAGAGATCTAGTACTTGTTAACAACTGTATCATCATAGAAGCAAAGAATGGTTTGGGTAGGAAGGGACCTTCACAGGTCATCTACTCCAACCTCCCTGCAACAAGCAGTTACAACTTCCACTAGATCAGGTTGCTTAGAGCCCCATCCGATCTGACTTGGAGTGTTTCCAGGGATGGGGCATCCACCACCTCTCTGGGCAACCTGTTCACGTTTCACCACCCTTATCATAAAAAAACTTCTTCCCAAAACTAGTTTGAATTGACCCTCTTTTATTTAAAGCCGTTACTCATTGTCCTGTTGCAACAGGTCCTGCTAAAAAGTCTGTCCCCATCTTTCTTATAGGCCCCCTTTAGGTACTGAAAGGCTTGGTATAAGGTCTCCCTGAAGCCTTCTCTTCTCCAACCTGAGCAATCCCAAATTTGTATTTTGAGTAAATCACATGGGTTTTCTTCTGTTATGGAGCAGAGTACCCAAAGTGTGGATTCTTTTTTCAAGGATGGATTGTTTCCACAGGACTTAACAGCATTAGTGTCTGACATGCCTTTTTCTTTCTTTTTTGTTTTAACAAAACCCTATTTGAAATATGTACTCTCAGAGGTTGTTGTGGGAATAAGACAGACAGACTGCATTCAACATAAGGATTTGCTTAGCTAGAAGGGAGTACTTGACCTGGTGTAAACTAGGCAGCATGAACTGCCTCCCCAATTTCAGCCCAGGTCTATTTTCTTCATCCTTCCATTGTTTAGCATCAAATGCATTTAGTAACAAAAAAATAAAATTGGTTTTGGTTTTTTTTTCAGTTTTACTAGAAACAGTAAAAATTGTTAGGTATCTCATATGTCATCTTTGTTAATTTCATAATTGATTTTTGAAAAGTTCATTGTTCTGTTGGCTTTTCAAATCAGAAAAATACTAAGGTCAAGCTTTTTAAAAGTCTGCTGGACATGACTTAACTGATGATCCAGTTAGCCATGCAAATATATGTATCTGCAGGTGAAAACAGAGCTCTGTGCTTTCCAGCTCAGTTTGGAAACTGCAACCACACTTGGCCTGAAGGCCTCCCCCAGGGAAGTGATGATGTGTTCCCCTCAGTGTAGTATATTCAAAAGTGTGTAACACTTCCATAAAGTGTTTTCAACCAGCCTTCCACTACTGGTGATGTTGTTTGGCAAGGAGGTCTGACTAGAGGTGGTGAGCTAAGCTCATGGTAATCGGGAAAACATGATCTAGTTGAAAGGTTGAATTTGGGTAAGAGGCAGTGGGATGGAATATTGTAATAGAGTAAGTGTTTAAGAAAGACATGAGGAGAACAGGACAATGAGACAAGACATGAAGAAAAAGGACATTATTACCTCACCCTCTGCCCTCTCTAACAGGCTCCTTCTCTACCTGCAAGTCCCACCAACTGGAACACTAGCCCTGAGCTAGAAATATATAGATGCCTTCTTGGCACCATGAAGGAATTTACTGACTTGGAGTAAAATGCAGCTCTTGTCCTGAAAGGAATTGATGTGAATATTTCCCCTTTCCCTAAGCCCTAACTCTATGTCTTCCTAAACGACAGGTGTTAAGAGTGTAGAATTTGGCAGAAAATAAACTCCCATGCCTTCCAACACCTCCTCAGAGATTTAGAGGGGCTGGGTGTGGCTAGGTTTAATTTCTGACTATAACCAATTTGGCACTGTCAGTCTGGTTGCGTTCAGTAAGATCCCAAATGCATGTTATACTGTAAGTCTGGTCTCATTTGCAACCACAGAGTCACAAAATGTGCAGTTTATTGGAGCAAGTGATCATTTCACTAGGCCTACAAAATCTAAGTGTATATTGCTAGGTACAAGTGTTCCCAGGTATGCTACAGCACAGGTGGAGGTGCAAATCTTAATGAAGAGACATCCCTGCTTTAGGGAGGAGAGAGGAGCAAGCCCACTGACTGGTCTTGCATGGTGGTTGTACTCTCATCCTCTGCCATAGAGGATTTCAAATGCCAATTTATACTTTTGGGAGAAGTGTTATTGCCATCATAAATGGTGCGGTGGAACAGCCACTTTGTATAATGAACATGAAAAGATGAACATCGAGAGTTAAAAAGTGCGACTACAAAGGCTGTGGGTCTTGCTCAAGGGAGGCACTTCCACTTGACCAATTGCAGAGATAAAGGTTAATCTGGCTCCTACCTGGTTACCCATCACCCCATTGTTACCCATCACCAGGCCATCATGCCCATTGTAATCCCTCCACCACATATCTACTGACATATCTCATGGAAATCCCTTTACCACATATCTCATGGCTGTAGGCCTCATTCTTACAACTGGTGACTCATCGTAGCTTAGATTTTGTTTTGCTCTACATTAAAGACTATTGGAAAAGTTGTACAGTAATATTCCTTTAAAGGACCAAGAAGAATCAAGACCAGAACCTATTAAATCTAAGGGAAGAGCAAACTCTGTGACAGGACTTTTTCACAGCAAAATAACCAAGAACTCAAGGAACATCCCTATCCCCCATTACTTTGAAGCAGATTAACAGAAGTCTAGTCAGTCATTTACAAAATATAACTGTGCAGATGCTGTAATTCACAACCTACAGGAAGAAGAGGCCTTTTTAATTTTTCAACAGAAGCATGAGCAATAAATCTACCTGGAACTGCAATTTCAATGAGCTAAAATAGACCAATGCTCTCTCACAAAACATTTCTACAAGAGAGTGAAAAGATTCTTCCTATCCAGCATGCAGTCATCAGAGAACTCACCTGTTTAAATTTGCCTCCTCTGCATCCCTTTTGAACTGGCATTAGCCAGGTCTCAATCACTACTATACTCTTATGACCTGGCTATATGGCATAGAATGCTTTAAAGGGGCTTCTTTTCAACTTCAGGTGGTAAGGAGAGAAAAGGGACAAGAAAAAAGGGGAAAAGGGACATAAAGTTAAAACTAATTTGCAAAAGCTATCAGATCCTAAACAAATAACATACATAGAAAAGCCTGATACAATTTAGGAAACAGTATTTAATTTTTAAAAAAAGTACCAAATGCCTCTGGAAGTGAACATCAATTCGCTAACATTGTTTATGCTACACAATCTGAAGAGTTTCAAGTCTTGTTTTGCAAGCACCCTATAGTCATTTAGTATTCTGTCTTCCTCTGATCTTAAAGAGACTGCTACAAGCTGAAACATAAGCAGAAATGTTTTACAATTTTGTAGAAGTCTGTTTTACAAAATTCAGTCAAGAAATTTACTATTTGTTAACATATTTTAGCTAAAGTTTTGTAATTAACTCAAATTGGTATTAAAGAAGTTAAATTTCTCCAGTACCACAAATCTAGGTTTTCACACAGATTACATATGGTATACATGTAGCACAGAGCAAACCCACTCTTATTTAAGGCCAGAAAGACAAAAGCAGACTATTCAGAATGCAGACTTCCTTTTGCATTGATACAGCCCCAAATATGCCCCAACAGCTCCACCCTTTAGGGAGCTGCAGAAAAAGAAATTTTGGAAGACTGGTCCCTTAGGCACTCAGCTTCAAGGTCAGAATACAAAATTTATTTTGAAACAGCTACCATGTTGATATAATTGCTTTATCAAATATTCCATGCACAAAATTAAAAAATTATCAGGAAAAACTGACTGTATTCTACACATGCTTCCTACTTGTATGTAAAAAAGTGAAATGGCTGTTTTCCACAGTTTATGCCCAAAATTATAAAAATAGTTTAGGTTAATTTATAACCTAAACTTCTAGAACTTGAGTTAAGGAGAAATGTGTGACAACGCTATCATATAATCATAATTAATACACAAAGCACATTCTGAATCTTCTTTGTAAGATATGAAACCAAACTATTTACAAGAACTGTTTTTCTCTGCCCCTTCAGCAAAGAGCAATGTAGCACCAAATAGTTCTGATAAACGATGTGATCTTTCTTCAGTCTCCCCTTCCTAATTGTTTGCAATACTCAGAGCACTACTTTGAAATCTGCCTGTGCTTCAGCTACTCAAGTTTGCATTTCTAACATAGCCATACTACTCTTTACTTCTAATAACGGACATATCTAACTCTGAGATAGTTCATTGTGCCACACACAGTAGTAAACAATTATTCAGATTTAAAAGTGTTATTTTGTACTAACACTGCACATAAATTGCAGATAAAAACATGAACTGAAAAATTCTTTTAGGAAGGGAAATAAAATTCTTTGGTGAGCATAGAGACAATACATGGAATCTGTTTCTTTGCATTAAAATCTTGTCGAGTTGAGCAGGACTCATACTCTGCCACTTTGCGATTTACACGAGTTAGAATCTGCATGAGTTCAAGCTTCCTTGCATGTTCCTTCAGCATTTTACACAGTGACTGAATAAACCAGGAGCCTTCAGCTGAATTCCTCCAGGAGTAATAGCCTGTGGAAGAGAGCAATGTCAAAGTGATCAGATGTAGCAGCCTTTGATACAGGACAGGTTAGCAATTAGGGGAACAACGCATTGTTTCCAACAGCAATCAATAAAAACTCAAAACCACCAACAAATAAAATTTAGGTTCTTCAAATTTCAACTCAAAAGATTTTTCTAATCCTCTCATGTTTTATAATCTAAGAAAACTTTAAGTAGGTAGAAAATCAAAAGGCAGGAAAACTATTTTCTGCTGCAACAATCTTAGCCATTGATCACTTACTACTTCACAGAGTACATGAACACAAAGGAGAGGTGACAGTACAGATGGAGCCAAGATGCAAAATGGATTTCAGTGTCACTGTCTTCAGGACTATGTGCATGAATTAAAGACTGAAACCTACTTCTGCTAACTGGTAATGTAAAGGGCATACCAAAGGCTCTGCCTCTACTGATTTTGCTTAAGGATGCAATGTAAATAGAGATGATATGCAAATAATATGCTGGTGTTTATCATCCACTTCTGGACATCTGATTGCTTTGTTTTCTCAGAATAATACCTTTTCCTCATGCTGTAAATTATTTGTACAACCCTGATTAACTCAATTTCCAGCATATGAATATTTGAGGATTTGCTAAGGAGAAAGATGTATACTCAGGGTTTGGTGGGGGTTTTGTAGGAACTGAGAGTAGCAACTACCTCAAAAAGAAATCAAATCAGTGTAGAAAAAGTGATTGACAGAAGAAAATCCATATTTCCATGAAAGAGTGTATTGGGTCTGTCTGAGCTGGAGTTCATTTCCCCACAGCAGCCCTCACAGTGCTGTGCTTTGCACTGGTAGCTAGAAAGTGTTGATAACACAACACGGTTTTGGTTACTGCTGAACAGCGCTGGCACAGCATCAGCACTGTCTCCCCAACATCCCCCCTGCCCCCTCATTAAGATTGGGGTGGACAAAATCTTGAGAAAGGACACAACTAGTACAGCTGACCCAAACTGAGCGAAGGGATATCCCATACTAGTGAAATCACCCACTGACTGGATACAACTAAATATTTTAATTTTTAGCATCAATAGAGGCTCACATATAGACACAATCTCTCACCTGGAGCTGTAGAATATGCATACAGAAAGTCTGCTTCTACAGGTATTTTTTGACACATTGTTTCTTCTGACCCACTGTCTGTCTCAATACCGCAATCTAATTCGGTCCCCCTACAAGCCTATTTGGCGGAAGAAGAATGGAAAATAAAATTAAAAATAAAGAAAATAAAGGCAGGGATCATGATCAGAATATTGATTTTTTTTTTCAGGTTTTCAGATGATAATATTCTGACTAAAAAACTGCAAAAATAAAAAGAATTTATATGTCACATTTCCATTAGACTGACTCAGAAGAAAAGTAGCTAGCATTTATTTAAATCAACTACACATTTTAGATAAGATAGATATTCATTCAAAATTATATTCAGAAACTCTTTAAAATATTGGCTAAGTTTTTACTTAATCCATAGAATCAAGATAATGCAATCTCATCTATTATGAATACTGCCTACCTAATAGGGCAGATTGTGCCACTTTTAGATCCAAAAAGAATCTTATTCCAAAAGTAATTCCATTTAAATCAATTTTAGAAAGAATTAACTTTTTTGCACTAATAATTAGTGAGAAATGGTATTTTTTTAAGTATCTGACTGATTTGATGATAATTGTTCAGCTGTACATCACCTGAATGAAAAAGAGCTTGGGTTTTCCTGCTAAACTTCGGCACCTGTCACCTCTGAAAAGGCTTGTTAGTGCTTTCAGTTCAAGAGGGCCATCTGTACCATAGATTAGTCCTTCATCACCATGGCTTAGCAACACACAAACAAAACTGCTTCGCTTGCTGTGATCTTCTTCAGAAACTTGAAAGAAAAAAGAGAATTACCTTAACTTCCCGCATTCCCTAAAAGTTTTGATCATTTGATCCTTCCTATGTGACAGAAGTCTTTAAGAACTAATTCCCACTTTTAGAAACATCCAACCAGTTTTCACTTCTGAACAAAATAAGTCTGCCTACTTTGCTTATGGAGGTTGGACACAGAAAACCCCAAATTAAAGGCCAACCCTACCCATTCTAAGACGTGGTCACAGAACTAGGCCAGGAATACCATGAGGAAACAAAGAGAGTGTTTCGAAGACAAACCTCACTCATTCAGTAATGGTCGGTCTTGTGATCTGCGATGGGATCGATGGAAAATTCTGAGTTTTGGGAAAGGATGGAGAAGTCCTATATCTCCTTCCAACTGGAGATGCTTCAACTGCTTGGATTACATGGGAATTGAATGCAGCACGGAAGTTGCTGCTGCTGCAGGGACCTAGGTACTGGCAGTACCCCTCTCCTCTCACTTTTGACCTGTAGTGAGGTCTAGAACGATTTTTCAAGCTCTTTAAGTAAAAAATTAAGACATTTAAGCTTGATATAAAGTGTCTGTAGATTTATATCTTTTTTCCCTTTCATCTTGTGGTAGACAAAGAGCATAAAATAGATATTCTCCAATGTCTTTTGTTGCCTGACTTTGTGGGAATTGTACTTGAGGGCCAAGATGATTCTTTTGAATTTATGAAAAGATACAAATGTGATTTAAAAGAAAGGATCCAAAAGGAACTCTGAGTGGTAACTCAATAAGATGCAAGAGTTTGTACATGAAAAATGTAACAGTCTGTACAGCTGAAGTCTTACTGTTTATTGCTTACCAAAACACTGAATCTCTGTTCTGGAAAAAATGAACTATTTATATTTTTCTCAAGTGATGCACACTCAGGCATTTCTACAATCTATGGACAAACACTGCATTTAGAAGAGTCACACTTTCAGCTACTGTCAATAGACTGGTTGCAACTATACTAACAACTTAACCATGCCTGGGAACATTCTCTGGCATAAACATTAACAGGCACCAAAGAACCTACATCTATGTTAATAAACATTTCCATTAAAAAAAACCAAAAAACCAAGACCAGGATTGCTGCAAGCTAACTGGCTGTTGGGAATAATCACTGGATCACTTTTACTGTTGAATTGTGACCCGAAATAGTCTGGGAAAGCACTAGTAGGCATGAGTCACAGTCACAGCAGAGAACTTTCCAACAGTTAACAGAATAGGTTGTGTTCCAGGGCTACCAATACCTCCAGGTACCATTTAATTTAAGGGTCTAGATGTCCAAACAAAGCAGGATTAACACAGTAGTATAAAACTCTCACTTGGGAGAAGGGTGTTTTGTTTCACAAGTAAACAAAACTTGAGTTGTTTCTCTAGAAGACTAATTCACTCCACACACCTGCAGTTCTGGTCCCTTGATCAGAACCTCTCTTGGGCCACACCGCTAAGCATGTAGCACCGACCCCCTCTACCCAATCAAGCAGGTTTCTTTCCAACTCACAGAGCTTCAGTGATCCCAGGGTCAGAATATAAATCAGTCTGCATTTAAGGTTCAGCCTTTTTTCCAGCCTTCTTTAGAAGACGAGATAGGATATGGAGACAACAGTCATGGCACAAAAGATGGAGAGACAGCAAAGATGAATAAACATAGAAACTATGATGTACATGTCATCCTAGCAATAAATCACTGGAAGGTGTGAAATGTCATCTAAAGGAACAATGGAAGAAGAGATGTGAGGGCTAGAGATGTATTTGGAAACAGTTGTTGATTTAATACACACACTGAACATATTATTACTTACCTTTTTTCAATAGATTAAAAATGTCCTCACATGAAAGATCATTGTTGATCTTTATTTTATATCCCAACTTCATAAAAACCTCTCTGACACTTGCAGCATCCGCATCTGTACCTGAACGGGGTAGCATCCCTATACATAAAAGAAATGTGTTATTTTTTTATATGATACAGATGGCATGGTCTGATTGAGCCAAATTCTTTTCTCACTTATACGGTATCAGTCTGAAATATTCTATTATTCCAGATCCACTCAAACAGAAAAAACGTACTGTTACACATGCACACCATTTCCCACTCTCTGTACCTGTATTGTAGATTTATCTAGATCTTATTTTTATATCTACCTATCTATGTAAGGACATAAAAAGAATTTTATTTGCAAAATAGAATTCATGACTTAAAGGTAAAGCAGACTTGTACTGCCTATCAATTTTTCTCCCTGTTACTGCTATACCCTAATGTGTTCCCTCTCGGCACATTTGGAAGAATGCACCGAAATGAATCATACCCATTCAAACGACCTAATTTTTTAGTGCAATCAAAATTGGTCTGCATATTTAGTTTTGAAGAATAACACATGGCACTAATTTATCTAAATTAAGGAAAAAAATTAAAAACTTGAAAGTAGTACCAGTACGTCTGTGGAAGTTCTTATTGTTTATTATTATACATTCCCCCATTTCTGGATAATCCATTCTGTAACTGTAGTCTGGCAGAATTCCAGAGTCCATAGACTTGCTAGCAGGTAGGTTCTTTCTGCACAGACACCAGACAAAATGGAGGCGTTAATTCCTGATCTCTCAATTTTCAAAATAGTAACCACAGGTTATTGTAGCAAACCCAATGAAACTGGTAACGTTTGCTACTTTTTCGCTAGAAGTTCCCTCAGCAAGTTTGCTGATGACACCAAGATGAGTCGGTGTGGTTGATACCCTAGAGGGAAGGGATGTCAACTAGGCTTAAGAGGCGGGCCTGTGCCAACCTCATGAAGTTCAACAAAGCCCAGTGCAAGATCCTGCACCTGGGTCGGGGCAATCCCAAACATGGATACAGGCTGAATAATGAGCGGACTGAGAGCAGCCCTGAGGAGAACTGGGAGGTACTAGTAAAAGAAAAACTGAATGAGCTATCAGTGTGCACTTGCAACCCAGAAAGCAAATTGCACTATTGGCTGCATCAAAAGGAGAGTGGACAGCAGGTCAAGGGAGGTAATTCTGCCCCTCTGCTGTGCTCTGGTGATACTCTATCTGGAGCACTGCATCCAGCTCTGGGGTCCCCAGAATAAGAAGGACATGGACCTGTTGGACTGAATCCACAGGAATCCATGATGAAGATGACTGGGGGGCTGGAGTACCTCTCCTAGGATAGGCTGAGAGAGGTAGGGTTGTTCAGCCTGGAGAGGAGAAGGCTCTGGGGAGACCTTTTAGTGGCCTTTCAGTACCTAAAGGGGGCTACGGGAAAGACAGGAGGGGCTTCTGACAAGGACGAGTAGTCATAAAACAAAGGGGAATGGCTTTAAACTGAAAGAGAGTAAGTTTAGACTAGATATTAGGAAAAAATTCTTTACTGTGAGAGTGGTGAGGCACTGCAACAGGTGGCCCAGAGAAGTTGCACATGCCCTACCTCTGAAAGTGTTCAAAGCCAGGTTGGATGGAGCTTTAAGCAACCTGGTCTAGTGAAAGGTGTCCCTGCCCATGCCAGAAAGGTTGGAACTAGAGGATTTTTAAGGTCACTTCCAACTCAAATCAGCCTATGATTCTAAGTTACACCTGTGAAATCAGTTGGTAGATTTAAGTGAAGACTATACTTGCCCAGAGGTTAAAATGAATGAAACTGCTTTGTACAGTTATGCTCCCAAATAAAACTTTTGTTTCGGTTAAAATGTGCACATACACAATGAATTTTAATAAAAAAGTGAAGTGTCATCTGTATTTGTAGTAGCCTTCTATGCAACCTGTAACAAGCTTAAAATTTAGAATCAAGGAAGAACTGTGTTAAAATTATAATGCCTTTGCACAGGAGAATATGAAAACTTATGCCAGCTATTATATCAACAAGGAAGCAGTTGGGTTTTCTTACTATCATGTTTTGAAAGCCATGTACCTGGAGCCAAGGTTAGCTCTGAGCACGCAAATCTGTTCTAAATTCTAACCGAAAGTCATATTACCATTGAATTTTCAAAAGTAAACATTCAAAACCTAGAAAGATGTGGCAGATATGTGCTCCTTTTCTGCTTCAGCAATAGCCACCAGTAGTAGTCATGATGGCTGCATCTGGATGAAGTTGGACTTTGGGGAGACAGATAACACAATAGCTAAGGGCCACAAATCTTCCTCAACATCTAAGGGCTAGCTGAGCATGCACCATCCCAAAACATGGCTGGTATGCAAACACAACTGTAAGTCAATTATCTTACTCCATATATAGCATAAAGCCCAGGGCCCCCTGAGCTCTCCTGCATGGCAGTGGGTTGCACACCAGAATCTCCCCTTGAACAGGGATGCCTCTCAAGATTACTCCTTGAGGCTGAGAGATTCCTTGCTGCAATAGATTCTTGGTAAGTAATTGATAGCATGCTAAACTTTAAAAGTCTCAATTGAGCACATGGGTAAGTGGTTACAAGACTGGGGGCCTATCATACTGTATTTTACAAATAAAAAGTCTGTAATACTCTTAAACCTGATTTTCATTGAAATAGTAAAAAGAATGACTTCAGAACCAGATTAATTTCCCAAAGAGAGCATAATCTGATGACAGTGCTAGAGCAGTGTAACAACCAGCTGGCATCAGGAAGAACAGGCCTGCGTTTCCTCCCTTCGACCCCATAAGTTCTTCTTGCACTTCTGCTTCCACACACACAGCCCCTACAGCAGGTCAGCTCAACCAGCTGGACTGTCTGCCACAGGTTCAGGTCAGCTCTAAAAGCAGTTCAAGGAAAGGGTGAACATTTAGTCTAGGGTGAGACACAGATGTCTCTTTTCAAGAAGAGCTAACCACTTCATAATCCTGTTAAGCCCAGTCTAGCTGCACCTCAAGTATTTTGCTTTTTAGTTCTTTGTACATGCATGTGGCCTGTTCTGTCAGACACTGTACATTTTCGAAGTCAGTACAACTCTAATAGTTGTTTATTATTATAACAATTTACCATAATTGAAACTTTTCTTCTTAGCATTATTTCTTGTATGGCTCTCGCCTTCAGTTACAGCACAAGATTCTTCAAGACTTAAAGACTTAAACCAAAAGTATCTCACTTACCCTTTGAAACCTGGAATAGATTTTGCATCTGTCAGATCTGCCCCCAAATGTGGTCCATCTCCAATGTCTGCCATTATGGCTTTCAATTATCAGCTTGAAAATGTAAGAAAATAGAAATGTTATGACAATTCACTGAATAACTTTAGCCTAGAAGTATTAGCAGACAAAAAAATAGCATCTCGGAGTAATTCCTACATATTTTATCTTTGAAAGGAGAACGTGAAATATTTTTCTAAATTATTGCATTGTAAAAGAACTCGGGGAAAAAGTCAGACCAAATCATTGAAAAGGCCTACAAAAAGCAGGTTAAGAGACAATCAAATTAAAAACAATCTTTAAAATATTGCAATGTTCCTACATGCACTAGAAATTGAGAACCAAAAATCAAGCAGTACAAATTACTGGATATGTGCAAAAATTAACACAGAAGATTAGATTTTGGGTCATAGTATTTTGAGAAATTAGTAATTTCTCTGCATTCTGTTTGAAATGAAACATCACTGCATCCCATTCTAGTTGGTGTATGTGAAGGCAATTGCAATATAAATTACATAAACCCACAACAATATAACTTCAAATAGTTGATGAAATGAACCCTATGCTGTGGACTGCTATTTACTTTTATTAGAACACAAGACAATAAATTATGATGGATACCAAGCCAGAAATCAATTTAAAAGCATTAAACCTCCCCCACAATTACTCTGTGTGTATTCATGGAACACATTACCAAAAGTTACCTTAAGCCCAAGTTTTGTAAAACAATTAACCATCATAAATTTAAATCACCAGATAGGACAAAGTGATAAATGCTTAGAAGTGCTTAGACCTCAAGAAACAAACAAGGCACTAAAATGCAAGAATTTAACAAGAACCGACTTAGCAGATATATTTATTGTTAAGAGAAATGCATAAACAACCAGATCAAGTAGTAAGGTTTGCTGGTCAGATATGATGAAGATTCTTATTTAAGGCTTAAGTTCTTTGGTGGCAAACTATATTTGCCATCTTACATCATCATAGTATTATTATATTAAGTCTCAACTTCGTATCTACAGAACATCAGAAACATCCATTTTCTGTGGCAACCATTACTGATGCATCAGAAGCACTAATCTGGTTATGTATAACTTTCTGTCTTTCCTTGTTTCTTAAGAAGACATCTACTTACGTTTTTAGTGACTTCAAAAGACCTTCAGGGTTACTCTGAATACTATTTCTTTGTATATTGGAGCACTGATGTAATTAAGAAATCTTCCTCACCAAATTATTCCAGACTTGAGAACTGTATTATGTAATGCAGCAAACAGGAAATTTCCTGAAAACCAAATTGCACAAGTATTAAATGAGCTCAGTATTTTAGAAATAAAATGTCTAAAATACATTCTAGAAATTTAGAAATTTACTTTAAAGACAGTATCGTGGGGCAAGAACTAAAGCAACAGTGATAAACTTGACTGCATAGCACCATGATCTGGATTCATTCATCCTAACGTCAAAGTCTAATTCATTAAAAGTTCCCTATGAGGAAAAAAGACAAGCAATTCCAAAGGTTACCTATGACCTGTGGCCTGACAGTGATCCAACCCTACGCCTTATAACTGTGCACTGCCAATAAAGTCTAGTTTACAGTGACAACTGGTGTGTCCACGCAGCTCTAACTGAAGAGTAGAGCTTCTGATCCCCGGGAAGCAGAAAGAATGGCTTCCATTGACAAGAACACTAGAGTTCCCCTGCTCCTGCACAGCCCAGCTTCCAGGATTTTCTCTGCTTCTTTCAACCCTCTCCCTACCACAATCATCCTTGGCTTTGGTTTCCAGCTTTCCTGAGGTCTCAGTCTGAAACTTTTGAGCAAAATTTTATTTGTAGGAAAACATCCAACCAGATTGACCCACAATTCTGATGCAACTCAATGCTGTTCGTTCTTCTGGAGAAGCACTATGTGCAAAAGCACAACCCAAACCCTTCACTATGAATGGGATTAATAGGAGAGACAAGGAAAAGGTTTATTTCCTTCCTCACTCGTTCTTTGTCTACCAACAGTAATAAACAACTACACCACATAAAAAAGCACAGCATCATGTACCATCTCTATCATCGAAACTTGCCAGCAGGTGTACTGACGGCAGTGTAGCCATGTCAGCACAGAAATCAACTTCTGCTAAAACCCCAGGTGTTTATCCCAGCTTTTTGATACTGTGAAGATCTGCAAGTACACGAAGCACAGGGTGTAAACTAGTAAATGTGTGCCTACATGAGCTGTGGCCAGCTCCTCTCCATCATATGAGCCAGCCTGGGCTACCAAGAGCTACTTGGAGAAAGACTCACCCAAAGTATATGGCAAGCTAAGAGCTCTGGCCAACAGATCAGATCTTGCAATCATTAGGTAGGGTAAGTGGATCACTAGGCTGTCTTGAGTTCACATCAGGTGTGCTCCAACCAAAATGCTACATCCCTTTAGGGACTGGTTTTAGTAAGCTGGTTTAGTAATGGTGAGAACACCACTGGTGAACAGCAGCAGACTTAAGTAAGCAAACTGGAGACCTAACTGGCTGCAAGCACTGAGTGCTTCTACAACATAAATGATAAAGCATGCTGCAAACACTAAGAGAGATCTTCAACATTTAATTGACCTTAAATTATGACTAAAACTGCTGTAATTGATCCAATGCCAAAGAAACAATGAAATTGGAAAAAGTAGCTAGCAAAACCTACAATTACAACAAACTATAGTACTTTGTTTCTGAAAAATGTAAAACACATTTTGTAATACCATATCATAAAAACATTTCTTATTTAAGCCTCTGCAAGCCTAGCTCGCAGTCTACAGTTTCAATTGTTTAATGAAGTGTTAGAGCTCACTGCATTCTACTTCATCACAACTGGAGCTTGTCTAAGAGACTTTACAGAAGTTAGAGAGATTGTCTAGAAAGGCTGGTTAGAACACGTTAGGTATTGAAATTCTCACGCTTTATCTTCAGAACAGAATCTGTAACTCACCTTTAATATTCATCAATTTCTGAGCACCTTAAGGCACCAAGTCATCTGCACTTGTTTAAAGAACAAAAGACATCCACAAGGAGGTATCTCTTGTTGCTAGGCACTCAAAAGCACGTTTTAACCAGCAGCATGTTTTCTGCTCTAAAGCACTGGTCAGGGTAACAGCAGTGCTCTCTGGAGGATGATGCTGATTCTAACAGACTAAGAATTGCCTCATCTTGGTTTAGGTAATGCAGTGATGCCATGCTCTTTCAAGCAGAATACACATTTCCCTGTGGAGGATGATCTCATCCTATTAGGGATGAAGGGGGTGGGGGAAGGGGTGAGGGGAGTAGGAATCATGACAGTGCATTAAGAATTTGATGAAAAAATGTTATTCTTCTCCTTGATACTATTTTCTGTTATGTAAGACGAACTTTCAACTGTAAGGAAACGCAAAAACAAGTAGCTGAAAAGAGCAACAGCATTTTTGTAATCCAGCAGAATATATTCTGTAGGTTTTAGGAAGTTTATTTTCCAATACTTTATCTAAAAAAAATACAGGTTGTTAAAAATGCTATGACACAGAGACAATGAATATAAAGATGATGCTGCAATGATCTTTACAGGTACTAAGTAGTAAAAAACGAAGTGGTTCAAAAAGGTCCAAAGCTACGCTTAGCAAGCTAACAAAAAACGACCAATGTCTCTCTGTATAGCAATAAGGGAAAAAATATTTTTCCTCCCAGAAATGCAGTTGTTACAATGCTTTTCTTTTGATAGGAAAATTATATATAAAACAATTTTTTACTCCCTTCCAGCCTGGATTTACTTATTCTTCCTGGACCTAATGAAAAGAAATTCACATCATCATGTGTCACCACCGCCGTACAAACCATCAGGTTTCTTTTTAAAGATATTTATTTGAAATGAGAACCAAAAAGACAAATGAATGACACAGTGATAAAAATAATACCAAAGCTTCTCAGATACAGAAGGAAGCAAATAACTGCATTGCAAACAAGGAGAGACAAGACAACACACCTTGAGTATATATCTGCTGCTATAAAGCAATGATTGTAGCAGTATTAAAACACATGTCCAAACCAGACATCAGCATTGTAAAACATGTCCTTAAAGATTACAAAAGGGCAGTTTTCCACCTCACATGACTGCAAGAGAAAATGTCAAGCATTCAAAGAAGATATTTTATGTACAGAAACATATATATGGCATATTGCGATAATTTGCATGCAGACATGCAATTAAAACGCTTCCATTCTACAATGTACAATGCTAAACAATAATTATCTGATTAATAACATAAGGAAAAAATAGAAGCTGACTATATGAAAAACTGAAAAACATTTGAAATATACCATTATATTTTCCATATGACAATATCCCCCTACTAAATACTGCTACCACTGATGGAAGCATGCCAATTCTGTGACAGCCTTGCCCATTACTTCTGGTCTGGATGTGGTAGTTGGAAAGCCCAGACACCGGGCCAGCACTCTGATCTTCCAAAAGCAAACAGACTTCTAGTCAGTCAGCATTAAGATGCAAAATTAGCAAGAGCTGAAATTATTCCGGGTGTAGATGGGACCCTTGCTTATTAATTCACCAATACCAATTAAAACACATCACCAATGCAATAAGCAATAGCCTTATCGGCCTCCTTAACATCAACGGCATGATGTGTTAGTTTGAAACCTACCACCTGACAGGCGGATAATTGAAGGAGAGAACTATGAGTCAAAGGGTAAAAAGACTAGATTAGAAAAGGTTAGTCACAGTGTCTGTGAGAGTTTCAAACTAATTTCCTCCAGCACTGGCACGGCCGGTACACACGAGGTTTAACCCTCTTTTTTTGGTAGATCCAGATGCAGATTCTGACCCTGCGCTTCCGGTTAGTTAATGGTCCACCGGGGGGGACACCAGAGAGCAGCTTAAAGTGCTTTCTTTTTTTCTTTCTCTTTTCTCCTATTTTTTGTTTGTTTGTTTGCTTGTTCGTTTGTTTCGGCAGCTTCTCCACAAAAGCAGAGCAAACTGTCTACCTTAAGCTTCCGGAAAACTCATAGCCGAGGTCCCGCGCCCTGCCCCGGGCAGTGGGAAGCGGCGGGCGCCGGGAGAGCACCGCGGCCGCTCTGCCGCCTCTCCCGCGGGCAGGGCGGGACGGACCCCTGCCCGCAGCACTGCCGGACCCGCCGTGCCGGGAGCCCCGCGGGGCCCCGGGGCAGCGGCGAGGCGGCGCTCTGAGCCAGGCCCGCCCCCGGCGATACGCGACTGCCCTCCTGCCCCCGCAGCCGACCTCCTCTGGAGGAGATGCGGGCGGCCACGCGGAGCTGGAGAGCTACAGCCTGGTCTACCCCACCCCCCGCCGCTTTGTCTGGCCCCACCACCGCCGCGCCCGCATCCCTGCCGCTGCCAGCACCCACCGCCTCTGCCGCCCGCCCACTCTCGGCGCTGCGCTCCAACCTGCCTTCCCCTGCGCTCGGCTGGGCTGCGCTGAGCACGGCTCGGCGCCGAGGGAACCCCGCGGCCGCGGGCCCGCCCGGCGCTGGCTCCTCCCCGCGCAGGGCGGGCAGGCCGCCCCAATGGCGGCAGCGAGCGGCGGGGGAGGTGAGTCGGTGCCGGCGGGGAGCGGCCTCGGGGGGTCGAGGAAGGCGGTCTCGACGTGCGGGGCGGCTCCCGGAGCCGAGGGGAGGCGGTGCGAGGCCAGGATGAGCCAAGGGGCTGCAGGTCCGGGCCCCACGGTGCGCTCCGGGACACCCTCCGGTCGGACGCTGAACCGCCGTGCCCTGCGGGGTCTGAGCGCTGAGCCGGGAACTGCTGCACTCGCTGCTCTTCGGTTTGAGTGGTGTCACCTAAACCCCGTTAGGTTTGGCCTGTTGTTTCAGTTCCTCTGCCTGCTGAGAGAAATGAGGCATTCTGGTACATTTGCACCATGCTGGTGTGGCCTCATCTTGAATACTATGTGCAGTTTTGGGCAGCAGAATATAAGAAAGATATTGAGCTGTTAGCGTCCAAAGGAGGGCAACGAAGATTGTGAAGGGCCTTGAGGGGAAGTCATAGGAGGAGCCGCTGAGGTCACTTGGTCTGTTCAGCCTCATCTGAACAGATGGAAAAGATTTCTCACCCAGAGGGTGGTTGGGCACTGGAACAGGCTTCCCAGGGAAGTGGTCACAGCACCAAGCCCGACAAAGTTCAAGAAGTATTTAGATGATACTCTCAGGCACGTGGTGTCATTCTTGTGTCTGGTCCTGTGCAGGCTTAAGGGTTGGATGTGATGATTCTTAGGGGCTTCTTCGAACACAATATTCTGTGATTCTGACAGAATGGTGGTTTGTTAAGTCAGTAATCTGTGGGGACGATTACCAAACAAGCAGCCACCTTCCAGACCTTGGCGTGTGAGATCCCCACGGCTGTGCTGGCCTGTACCGCAGCAGAACCTGCCCCTTGGGTGAGGTTATTGCCCACCATGCACAGTCAGAGCCTCAGGCTTATAAAACCAACAGAGAGGTACACTCTGAATGTCCCTGCCTGCCTGCTGATCTGCCTTGCACAACAGCTCTCTAAAGCTGAGGGCTGGTTTTGGCTTCACTATCAACTTTCAGGTCAGTTAGTTTCATATTTGTACAATGACCTTCTATAGCAGACGTCAGAGTAAGATAACATTGGAAACTACATATTCCAGCTTCTCACAACAGATACTAACCTACTTTTTGAGGTCTTATATACCTGGTCTAAAATACTGAGTTTTGCACAGAAGTCCTCAAACCTTAATTTGAGGAACAGATTGCCCAGAGAGATTGTGGAGTCACCCTCACTGAAGATATTCAAGAACCATCTGGATGCAATCCTGTGCTTAACTGGAGGGGTTGGACCAGATGACCCACTGTAGTCCCTTCCAACCTGACCCATTCTCTGATTCTGTGATTGTACAGGCCACTTCCTCTCTTAGGAGGGCAAGATGAAAATTTGGAGCTCCTTGTTGTTGTTGAGGGAAGATGAGTAGTGTTTGTCGGTATGCCGCAGGTCAGCTCAACATAAGGATAACTCAGCTAATTTTCACTAACATTAAGAAATTTGACAATAGAGGCATCATTATTTATTATGTTCTTCTAAGGCTGGAATCAGTAGCTGGGAGAAAATCTCATGGATTTATTTGTGTCAAGGACCATGAATTCTGCCATAGAGCTATGTTGCATGATACATACTGGCCAGGAAACAACTGTAATTACGTTATTTTGAGTAGCAATTGATTTGCATGTCTCAGCTTCAGTTCTCAGCAGGTGTGGATAGTGTGTTTTATCATAATCATTACAGATTTTTGAACATTTTTTTTAAACATTTTTAAAACCATTTCAGAAATCCCTCATGCTACAGGGGAAAGAGAAACATAGATGTGTGATTTCATCATATGTGTCCCTACATTTTAGTAAAAAAAAAAATAAAATACAACCACCAAACAAAAAAAATCTCAAACCAACCATATAACCTGATATAAAAATCCAGGATGTCAACTGTGCTCAGCAGTAACCAGACGAGTAGTCCTCCATCAAACAGAGAAACTGAAATAGCAAGTTCTTCAAGTCATCTCTCAGGAGACATTTTCCCAGGCTCTCCATCCTGCTCAGTCAATAACACTGAAGTCCAAACATGTTGGGGACAAAATTTCTTTCTGTCAAGTAAAACAAAAATAAGTACTCCCCTTACTTTTGGTGGGATAGAAGAGAGGAAGATGAAGCGTGAATTCCCCAGTGAATTCAGAAGGTTAGTCTGTAAGTGTAAATTGTACATGCTCTAAATGGATGTGCTGTGTTATAGTTCACGCAGGAACCGAAGTTACCTTGAAAAGACTGACATGTTGGACTGCTGAGAATCTGAGAGTGTTTGGACTGCAAAGAACAGTGATAGGTTTAAGTTTTAAAGTAAGGGTCATCAACCTTCTCCCAGGTTCAGATATCCTCCCAGCTGTGTTTCTCCAAAAATACAGCCTAATATAACCAGAAACTTTAAAATGAATAGAGAACTACAGAAATTCTCTTTCACTTTCCTTTTTTAATGGTCACCTTGTGGGAAAGTGCTGATGTAGGGAATGTCCTCTGTACCCGTTAATTTACAACAGAGCCAACAACATGAAAATGAAATGAGGGTTTTGCTAGCAATTCTGAGAAATGCTGATTGCTGTCTGTAATTTAACTTTTCATTCCCCAGGAAGAAACTAATTGCACAAAAAGGGAGTGGAGGAAGTGCATAGGTCAGAAGACTGACAAAATCTATAGAGATAATATTTTTGACCCCTATTAGAGAAAAAACATTCTGTTATTAAGACTTGATACAGGCACTAAACTATCAAAACACAGGCAGGCTTAGAGGTACAGTGGGCAGAAATGTAAGTGTCCAGTAACTTTTGCTGTGGAAAACTTAGAGGGGGAATTCAGAGGATCTAAAATCTGGGCTTTGGGGCCTCACAAGAATACTTAAATACTTAAACTCACCTTGTGGATCCAGCTTGTTAAAGGTTTGAATACTTTTGAGTACAGTCAGTTTCATTTTTATCTTTCATTGCATCTGGTAGGCTGTTATGAGAACCAAGTGGTTATGCTGGGCAAAACAAAAAGATTCCCCTTCATGTTTGTTCCTTCTTGCCCCTCTTCCTCTGTTTCACTGTTTCTTAGCAATACTTTTCTCTGATTTGCAAGTGTTCAACTTACAGATATTTGTACATATGTGTGTTTGTGCTTTACTACACTACTCTGTAGCATTTGAATTGCTTTATGGAACTAGGAGTTTAAAGGTTACAAGATAAGCAAGTGTTACTGTAGGGTGCTATTTCTTGAAAAGGGATAAGGTCTTGAGACTGGGAGAAAGTACATGAGATTTTAAAGCAGGTGAACATATCACTGATCAATAGCAAAGGTCAGCAGTGGAGAATGGAGCCCTCATTTTAGATTTCAGTTCTTTTACTTTAAGACATAGAGCTCAGAGCTAGAGTCACTGAAATCTTAATTCTTCTGAGGAACTCAAGTGCTGTACTACCCACACAAATTAATGATCTCATTTGTCTCCCCAACCATAAAGCAGAAATAATAGTATTTTTTCACTCATTACTGATGTTGTGTGGCTAGTTGGCAGAGTTTGTATACTTTTTGAGGAGGAATGTAATACCATTCTGTAGATAGAAAGGAAACTTCCTAGGCTTCCCCTTATTGTGATTTTTCTGTTGTGTTTATCTTTGATAGCATTAATATGAAGCTCTTGTACTTCCAAAACAGCGTAGATAGATTTAATTAAAATGAGTATTATAGCAAGGTTGGGTGTTGATTTGAATATCAGCTGCTCCCAGTTAATTGATAAATTACATTCAACAAAACAAGAATCAAAAGCAGTGATGATTAAAATTAAAATTGTCGTGCAAACAGAAATTAAAACTAATTTGACTATTTGTAATTGCTTTAGGAGAAATGAAGAGAAAATGGGAAGAAAGACTGAAGAAAGTGGAAGAACGAGCATCCTACTATGAAAGAAACCCTCTTCCTACAGTTTATAGACCAAGACTGTCCAAACCCTTTCAGCCATCTTCTGTTTGGAAAATATTTTCTCGACAGGCTGAAGCTTTTAATTATGTAAAAACCTGCAAAGAGGTATATTATGTGTTAGGTGAACTACTATATATGTACTTTCAAGGTTGAACATCACTTAAAATCTTGGTTGACAGTGAAGTCTTTATCAGATTGCAAGATCTTTTTTTTTCTTCCCAATCCTGAAACAGCAAGTTTAGGTTTTTTGTCTCTGTAGGAGATCATGTTGCACTGGAGGTATCTCCAGCTAGTACTTCCAGTACTGGAAGTACTAGCTCTAATTCTACCATACACATATCACATTGATATGTGATGTTAACATCTAACAGTAAAGTGCTTTTTGGTAACATTGTAGTGCTAGGTTTCTTCCCTCTGAAGATAAGCAAGCTGCCAGGGTTGGCAGGAGAAAGGGAAGGTAGTGAGAACTGAGCAGGAAGAAAGAGAAGGAAGAAAAAGAGAGAAACAGGAGACAGAGACAAAATAAAAACAATACAACTCTCCAGTGGCATCAGAGTAGCAAGTTCAGATGATAAGAAGTGTTGAACCAAATAAATATTATGCAAAAGTATCCTCTGCTTTCAGTTTAATACTTTTCAAATTGATTGCTCTTTTTAAAGAAAGTACTGTGTTTTTCTCCACGCT